AAAAAAAATCACAAGACAACAAGTTACCTTGGCGGCCTTCATCATTGGTGAAGAGGCCAGTGTCACTGCTGCTGCATACACTGCTGGTTTCACTGAAAAAAAAACATAGACAATTAAGCTCAATGAGCATGCAACAATTGTCTTTTAGCAATGCCTTTCAGCCCAAAGGATCCCAAGGTGCTTTATCTACTAGATAAAATGGAAGTCATTTAATCACTGGCATGGGGCTGCCTCTGGTATGGAACATAAGAGCTGTCTGACAGTTCACAACACCACCTTATAGAACAGTCCTGTAGGCACCTTAAAGCTTATCAAAATGTAGTTACCCAAAATGGCATTTGATCAGAGCACCAACACCCCTAATGATGATACAGTCTATAGAGATTTCTTCTCTAACACTGATCAAACAGTGCAAGCTTAGCCACCCAACAGTCAATGAAAACTGTACACAAACTTATTTTTTTTAATTCCTTCTTCCAACCAGGTCATCCTTGAACATAAATGCTTTCTCTTGCATTCTCAATGCTTTTAACTTGCTATGGAGGAATAAGAAGCTGGTAAATCCTTAAATGCTCATCCAAATAAACCAGTACAATATAACCTGCCACTCCTACAAGTAGCCACTGGTTATACCACGCTTCAAACACAGTCACTCTAGGAGGCATTTGACTGTTGAACTATAAAGCTGAAGAGGAAGGTAATTTGTAGAAATTTGTTAATTTGCTATGAATATTGTTTGAATATTGTCTAGGAAAATTACTTGCTCTGGTCAATTCTAGGCATCTGAGCTTTAAATGCTGCCATCAAAATATTTTTAGGATATATTTGCCAATAACTGCACTCTTCAGCTCTCTCTCAGCAAATCCCAGTTACTAATCCTACCTAACACCAATCAATGCCTTATGGGAGAAGTGAATGCCAGCAGTAACTAACCAAGCATCTGAAAGAATCTGAGTACAGGTTTCCCTCGCTTTATGCAAGTTCTGTATGTGCAAATTCATTCTTATGCTATGACCCTTTTTATACCAAAAATTTGTTATATGCAAGGTAAATTCACTCCTATGTGATTGGTGTGGTAGAAGCCCACACTCAGCTGCTTTGTGTGGTGCATTGTGAGAGTGACATGCACCAAAATATAGTTTCCTGTGTGGATCTGTGCTCCTTGCTCATTGTGTGTGATGCATGTTTCTGTAGTTGCCATCCCCATTATGACAGTGCCCTCTGCTTCTTTGTACTGTCTGCTGCTGGCGAGTACCAAAATTGTCTTGTAATAGTGGTAGAAATGGGTCTGGGGGTCAGTACAGTCGAGGTCTTGGAACATCCCTATTTGTTACATTGTAAAGTGAGTTT